AGGGAGAGGGGGAGGGGAGGGGAGCGCCGGTAGGGCGGGAAAGGGCGGGAAGCGGCCGCGCTGCTGGCGCCCGGGCTGCTTTGCCGCCAAAACCGCCGCCCCACGGGGGCAGCCGTGGGCGGGAGCGGGGCCTCCCTGAAGGGGCAGCGCCGTTTCCCCCCCACACACACACGCAGCCCCCTCATCCTCGGGGGTGGTGTGTGCTCCCGCCCCGCTGTGGGGTGGGTCTGTGTGGGGGTTTCCGCCCCGGTCCGGCGGTTTGTCCGGGAATCCCACGATGGAGGGGCTGCTATCCCGGCCCCGCCGGTACCTTCAGCCTTTCCCCGAATCTCGGCGGTCTCCGGAACGCTGTCCGCGGCCGGGCCGTCCGGTCTACCGGCGCCGAGGGGCAGGTGGGGGGAGGCCTGCTGGCCCGAGGCGCGGTGAAGGCCCGGCACCCCTCGGGAGCGGGTTGGAAATGTTTCCTTTGCAGATGGGGGGGGGGATTAAAAATAACGGCTCGTGCGGGTATGGGGGCTGAGCGTGCCTCCCCTTAACTTGTGACTTATGTTTCACGCCCTAGGCTGAAGGAGATACCAAGGGCGATAAGGCCAAAGTTAAGGATGAGGTAAGAAGTTCAACATTTTGAGAAAGTTGGATCATAAAGTGTTTGCGTTGGAAGATGAGGCTTAACTTCATCAAAATAAAGAACTGGGGAGCAGGGGAAGGGTTGGTCTTAATGGATTCTGACTTTTCGAAGTATTAACTGTCTTTTAACCTTAACTGTGAAAAGTCTGCTTAAGTATTGTTAGCTATTAGTAGCGATTTAAATGAGATAGTTTCATGTTTCTTGAGAATGGGGAAAAAGGGAACTAAAAACTGCAACGTTCTGAGATTTTACTCTTTTGAAATGAGAGTTACTTTATGAGGTGCTGAGAGTTCATATTCCATCACATTAAATCCAATCATTTTTCTTTTTAAACAGCCACAACGGAGATCGGCGAGGTTATCTGCTGTGAGTATTCTCTTGTTGAGCTGAGATGTTATAACGCTTTGTAGTTTTAAGCTTGAATATCGGGTGCTGCATCTGTGTGAGATTTGTAGGTATTTTGGAGAGACGCGTTGTTCAGTTGCAAGAAAGTTACTGGCTTAACAAACTGCCCCTTTGCATGGTGCTATGGGAGTGATAGAATAATTGACAAATTGAGAGTTTCGGTTTCAAATGTGTTGATTTGCTTTCTTACAACTAAACTATTTAGGTTGAATGTTTTTAAGAAGTAGTATGTTTCTCTTAAAATAATTTGAATAACAGAAGGGGGTTTTCTCGCTTACAGAAGCCTGCTCCTCCGAAGCCAGAGCCTAAACCTAAAAAGGCAGCTCCAAAGGTAAGTTGTTGTGTCAGTTGGCACTATTATTGAGAGGTAAATGGGTTACGAGGTTTAGATTTGTCTAGTAATAAGTAATAAAACTTTGAGTAACAGCATACGTAGCGATGAAATTAAGCTGCATTGTCACTTCTATAAAGTTGTACTGAAAACTTTTGAATTTTACAAAATTTGCGTAAAAACTACCGAAGTGAAGACTCTTCACAGTTGCCGTCGATCTCTTAAACATGCAAACATTTGTGTGTTGCATTCTTTTTGGGCCAACATCCAATGTTGGTTTTTACCATTCTAGTTTTTGGATTCTTGTGGCTTAATGACTGGATGTTGGTAATTGTAATGGTGTATGTCATCTTACGTTTACAGAAGAGCGAGAAGTTGCCCAAGGGAAAGAAGGGGAAAGCTGATGCTGGCAAGGAGGGAAACAACCCTGCAGAAAACGGAGATGCCAAAACAGACCAGGTATAACAGTGGGTCTGGCAGCTTGTCTTACATCAGCAAATTATTTTTTTTCCATATCAAACATAGACAGGTCTGGGCTTGCGCTAATGAAGAGGAATTATTGCTTGATTATTTAGACTTGTTGCTTATGACAGTAACAACACATCTACAGATGCGGGGTGGGGGGGAGTGTTGCTTGGTTGGTAAGGAGTTAAAGTTGTCTGTTCGCTAGTTGAAGTTGCCACGTGAAAGTTACTGTTCTGCCTTGTTCTGAAAATGCCTGAAGTTTGCACGTAATAAAGCAACTTCAGGTTGCCTTTTACGGTACTTCAAATGTTAGATTTCATTTTGTTAAAAATGACGGTGGTGCAGCCCAGGTAAGATTTCTTCTGTTCAGAGAACTGCTATTTAGAAAAATGAGTTATTGGTTGTTTGGTGCAAGTGTGTTGTGTATGTTGACTGGTTCCCCTTTTTCTTTTAGGCACAGAAAGCCGAAGGTGCTGGTGAAGCCAAGTAAAATGTGTG